TATGGTTCCAGTGACATAAAAAGGTAATGCAGGGCAAACATGGCCTAATAGTTAGCTGATGATTAATCAAAACTTGGAAAAGATCTTCTTGCGATAAATTTTATATTACCTGTACTTTTATTTTGTAATTATCTAGCACAGTCTTCACTAATTTTGAATCATTTGAGCATGTTACTGAATCAATATGACAAACTGTACATTCCTGTAACAGTGTTTAAACAATTTTTTTGTTTTCTTGAATTTCTTAAATTTCTTCTGATAATTGGATAGCTCACTCTTCGCTGTTCCTTTTGCAAATTAACAGCCTTTTCACACACAGCTAAAATTCTATAAACATGATTAGTATAAACGTGTTTCGAACGTGTTTAAACTAATCACGAGCCTTTCACACACAGAAATTTCGTTGCGATCGTTGATAGTTTCGTGATTAACTACTGCTCGCAAAATGCGCAGTAGTGCCATTGCGCATTGAAGGTCATGTCATGTCAATCAAAGCGCACGCTCCATCCAGTTTAAACACGTTTAAACACGAATTTCCTTTCACACACAAAATGTCAAGCTCTCTAGATACGAACTTCGTATCTGCAGCCTGCTTTTAGGGGCGTATGGATCGCGACTTCGTATCTATCCCAACATCGTATAAACGATGTTCACACTGGGAAATTTTGTCTATAAACATGTTTAAAACTGTTGAGTGATTCTAATCATCTCTAGATACGATGAATTTTAGCTGTGTGTGAAAAGGCTGTGAGATTGTCATTTCAAGGACGAAAATTGTATTATTGAATACGAATCTGAGTCATCCGTAAAGTGTACCTTTCTTTTAACTAGTTTCAAGAATGGTGATTTTCAATCATAAAAATTACAAGGCCTTAAGTATGAAATATAGACAAGAACAAATTCAAACTACAACAGCAGATCCATAAGGGTGGGGATAAAGTATAATCCTAAATCCTCCTCTTTTTTTGTTCTCTTTTTTTTTGGGGGGGGGGGGGACCTCCCATGTACATGTGTACATGTTTGAAGTTTTAAGTTTACACTACCCCTGAACCCCTCTCTACCTTGGCCAACTTCCATCACATCGGAATATAATGTTTCGTGGTTAGAAAAACAGAAAAAACAAAATGGATCTCCAACTGAACTATTAGAGGCCTCCAGTGTAAAACACCAATTTAAAACAACACATTCACAAAACAATAAGAGGCACAAGTAAGAGAACAATTTTATATATTTGATATTGCTACAACAAAACAGGTAGCAGCCAGAATGGAGTAGCCCTTATTTATTTACATAGGTAATGAAATTTACACTTAGAGAAAATAATACGGTAATTTTTATTAACGGTGTACGCAAAAACATATACTGGTGAATTACAAAATTACAACATAACAAAATAATAGAAAAATAAAAACAAACAGCAACAGATTAAAAGAAATTAACTTAAAGATTCAAAGGAAGTACTTACCGGTACTGTACCGATATATCTTTCTATTTTGTCTCCAGAAAGAGTTTTCTTTATTTTCATTTCAAAATTATTTAAGAATTGGGCATTATTTATATCAGTAAGAAGAGGAGGCGAGTTGGCTCAGTCGGTAAAGCGTCTGCCTGTCGAACCAAAGATCCCGGGTTCGACTCCCATCTAGGCGGATGACTGAAGTCTGCGTTGTGTGTTAACGTGCCCCTTCCCTTGTTCATAGACGCAGGTTATGTCAAGTGGAAAACACTCCGTCCCTCGGATAGGACGTTAAATGGAGGCCCCGTGTACAGGAGAGTCACAACCCTTGCACGTTAAGAACCTATTGCACTATTCGTATAAGAGAAGGGCGAAACACCGGTGTAATGGTCCACCTGCACACCCCAATCAGGCCAAGTATACGGCATCTGCAAGAATCTTCAGTATTAAAGGAGGCAGATTATCTTGAAGAAGAAGAAGAAGAAGAAGAAGAAGAAGAAGGGTTCCATATGAATAGCCTTTAGCCTTATCAATAACTTTAGGAAGACAGTCACACCTGTTTATAAACGCCCACCAAGGGAACACAAAATGGCCACTTTACACAGGTGGCCTCTCTTATACAGGTTCTACCAAGCATATTTCTTCTTTGAGGAAAACATTACAGTTGACAACTATAGCCAGATGGCTTTTAAAGAGCGGTGGCTACCAAGACAGGTTTGACTGTAGTCATATCAAGAGAGTTTCCATTCATAAAGAAAAATAACATTCCTACGGGGCACAGACAGTGCACAAAATAGCCCACTTCATATTCTGCCAACGTGGCTATTGCTTCTACAGGTATGTACATTGCACTCATGTTGGAAGGAAAGTAAATAACTTTTTACAATTGGGGAACTCAAAGACTTTGGGATATATAGCTAAACACAATTTGTACCATATTGTGTTTATAACATGTTTATGACAATAATGCTGATACTTGCAGCCAAGTATGTCTATGAAGGACACCCATAGGAAAGAGTAATGGTCCTTAGAGGTAGATGTGCCAGTAGGTTATCATCGAAAACAGGCTAAAAAACATATTTCCCTAGAAGGATTTATTGTACACGTGGTCGATTACTACAGGTATAGACAAGTGAATACCAAGACAAATTTGACTGCAGTTTCGTCATGCTTGCTCATGACTACGTGTTGTAGGTTTCCTTCATTACAAAATGGACCAATGACATTAAAGGTGCTTTCTCTCTTATCTATAGTAAAAATACAGTAGTATTCACTATGTAAACAGGTTTTATTGTCTAATGTATACTACTTCTACCAGTGCGCAGTGAGTTCCATCACTAATACTACTACAGAAGTATTAGTAGCATTCCTGATGAAACAATGTCACATATTATGTAATCAGGCCATTTTGAAGAGGGGTAAGGACAAAATTCCATTCTCCTCTTGTGCAAAATGCATTACAGTATAACGTTACTATGTGGCTTCACTGCCTTTTGGACGATTGCCCTAAACTTAGCCTTAGCAGATCAAGATTTATCACTACCATGCCTCTCAAAATCAAACACTAATGTTATATAGACTTTAAAGCCCGTCTGCACTAGTTTGGCCAGGAGGGATTAGACCTCCCTGCAAGGAAACAGGTGGTTATATCATCAAATCAGCTCTTAATTAACATAAGAAAAAGGGGATTATGGGGGACCAACAGGCACTGCTTAGGCATTGTTTGATATGTAGAGGGCGCAAGCAGCTATAAGTAGTGTAGTCCCGCTTTTAATTCTGTCATAGAACTGTCGAGGAATGCTTTTACAATTCATATCAGGACCCGGTGCCAGGCATTTCAAACACTCTTCCAGTCAAAAAGGAATAATAGTACCTACATGACCAGCTAGTATAAATCACCTCCTTGATTGTTTCCTTACATGTTCATAAATTAGACTCGTTTTATTTACCCCCTAACTGGGTATTTCTCGCTATCCCCGATACCCCCAAATGCCAGGATGTACGTCTCTTGGCTGTAATTTTGAGCCACTTACGAGACTTGCATACTTGATGTGTACGGTGTGATGCATGCATGCACATAGTTTTTACTTACTCGAAAAGCTATTTCTAGATTTCTCTCTTGACGTCTGCTACTGACTTTCTTGGATTTTTTTACAAGTCCATGATTGTACTAGAAGAAGGGACTCCCACCGCATGTCCATTATTTTGTCACGGGGCTCTTTTTTTAATACAAATTGCCATTGAATTGGTACCCATGTTACTCCTAAATTCTTTGCTATTTCATCATCATCATTCATTTTTGTTGGCATTTTCCCTCTTACAACGAGATGCTTCTCCATGTTTTGGTCCTTGCGATCGCCTCTAGCTCCAGCAGATACATGTATGGCGTTGCAGCCTGCACACCGGTTCTACCGGCGCGGTATAGCCGCTGCTGACGGCCGCACTGCACTGCAAGCTTCCGTTGTTTGTATCGGTAATACTCATAGAGATGTGAGGGCGATATAGCGCCATCTTGCAGCAAATAAGCATACATTTGTTTACAATATGGGGGCCCCCAGACAATGATAAGTGCACGCTAATCTTACTTCAAAAGTTCCATTTTATTGATTAAATGTTTGATACTTAATATCGTGTGAAAGTTATAGCAGAAAATATAATCTTTATTTTATCATTTCAAGGGGGCAATTTTTAATTTTGAGCAATCTGATGGGAGGCTTTTTGTAGCGCATGGGGGCGTATCGACGGTTGCCCCCATGTGTATTTCAAGCCTTGATATTAACTTATACTACTAGACCTAAGGTCATTTATTTAGCAATCAATAATATATTCCTACAAAGGCTACAATACCGGAGTGATATCACTGCATTGTTCTAATACTCCTTATGCAAAGAATGCCATAACCTTGTTTATTCCTTATTTGCAAGAATAACACGTTTAAAGAAAATTATTAAAAAATCTTATATGGAGGCCTACATAGTACATGTAAATGCCTTAAAATCATCACAATGTATGGTTCCTTGCGATAATACTATAATCTATCCAGGCCAGGAACCTGTTGTCACACCCACAAAACAAATACAAATACATTGTCAATGGGTAGAACTGCAAGGAAGCCATACAATAGTCAATAGGTCTACATGCAATGCCATCATGCATGTCTAATTCAGGTGAATGGTTCATGACATTTTACTCTATTTCTCTGCATCATTCCAACATTAGCATCTCACTCAATATATTATAAACATGAAATTAATACTCTAACTCTTACAAACATCTCATCAGAAAAGATTATCCCCAGTATAATACCAAATGCAATGAACGTATATCATATATTCGCAGACTGTGCAGAGATGCAGAAGTCGGCGGTAAGCTACGTAAGCTCAGTGTTTGCTATCGGGAAAGGTGTGGGCGCCTGAGCTAGAGCGCCACGTAGACAATACCTATACTACCTGGCACTTTACGGGTAGATTCTACCCCTGTAAAGTAGGACTAAAGATCTAAATGAATTCGAAATTTGTTAGGTCAAATATCTGCCTTTAGATCTTACCTGTCCTGTTATGCCTGTGATGAGGGCAACTTTTCGATCGTTCGAGGGTGACCCATTTGTAGCCATTTTGAGATTCTATGTGTTACTCGGTATAGATGTGTACACGATGAGGCCGATACGAGTGTACAGGAAAACGTACGAATATATATACCCAGAGCTAAGGCGAGTCGGCCGACCGTGCGATTCGTTCAAACGGTACTACGGGGTAGCGCTGGGGTCAATCTTGCTGGCGAAACCAATAGACCACTATTGCAGCACACACAATACACACAATACGCACAGTGTATTCATGTACAGAGCTAGCTAGAATGTGTGCGTCGCGTACGGTCGAGCTCTTCTCAAATATGAATATTCATGAGTGGAGTGCGGCACGCGCGTCTCGCCGATGACGTCATCGTATATATTGTTAGATTAGCATAACATCACCATACTATTAAAAATGGACGTGTCGAGGCAGGTCAGAGTCAGTAGCGTACCTGGCTATTACGTCATGGTGTTTCCTAGCCCAGAAAAAAGGCCCTATCGGCACCCCAGCCAACCAGTTGCCTCAAGAAGAACATAAAGGGGAGGAGCAACGATACCAAAACATTTTCATTCACGTCTGTTTGGTAGTAAACTCGTTTGCGGAAGGGAAAGAAAGAGACGATTGAAAAAAAATTCGCAGCCAGCAACCAGGCATAGATTATCATTTGCAGTGCTGCCGTGGATCTGCTAGAAACCCAGCAAAAAGGAAAGGCACTCGTCAGCGTCATGAACGACTTAGGAATTGGAAAATTCCTGGAGCCACTCGGATTGACACAATATGCTGGAATATTCAAGATCAAAGGATTTGATGTGGAGACGGATTTTAACAATATTGATGAGGCGAATCTGATAGAAATGGGGATAGAGAACGAGGAACATCGGGAGCTCATCTTACACGCAGGTACGTGGTGATTTCATCCCCTACCATTTTCATTGACAGCAGCCTAGTATATTCGGGGGCGTGGGGGAATTCCTTTTTTCATTCCTTGATATCTCTCCGGCCTTCGAATTCTATGTACACTTTCAGCGGGGGAAATATGACTAGCAGGTTTTATTTCTAAACTTCCTCATGGTATATGGGAAGATTCGTGAGCGCCGACCTTGTTTCCTTGGGAAAATTTGACGGAAATGCTGCTCACTGCATCTTTACCATACATGAATTTCCTTAAACGTCATCAGTATATTCTAATGGCAGCCATGTTGAAAATATATATGATAGTGGAGCTGCTACGAGCTTACGGTACGTTACAACATTTCCCCTTGCAGTTTCGCTTCGTTCCCGACGCAATTAGTATCTGTTTTATTTGATTTTCACCGCATTTCTTGGCATGGTATTTCCCCTCATTTGTACCCGTCAAAATGAACGAATGTTTGCTCCTAGCAACGCGTTCAGATCAGTGGAATATTGCACGGCAACCGTGGGATATCAGGTGTGATGCTGCGCTCGCTTTCGGCCACAGTCCCGTGCGCTTGCAAATGTAAAACGTCAACTCTCTTTCGTTGGGAATATTATTTGTATTATTTCGGGGTATTTTTGCCCTATCTTTGGGTTTTATCATAGTAAAGATATATTAGAGGTGGTGCATAACGCATAGACTATGTACTGAGACATCGCCTCTTACGCGTGAGTGAGTTTCGCCAATTCGTGTCGGGACGCGTCCGCCTTCACACCCCTGTTGACGACACAGAATACAAAGTTCGGCACCCTGGTTTTAAATAGTGAATTGGAATGGATATGACATGTGAAATTTAACGAATTTTTCTAGATTAAGAAGTATTTGTCAATGAATGTAGTATCACTTGAAAGCTTAGAAGTTTATCTATCCTTTGATATAACTTTTTTGCCAGTTTAGTACTTTTTCTTGGATTTGGAGGGCTAAATTGTTACCCTTGAGGGCTGAAAATTAGCCAAGAGTAGAGAAGATTTTCAACAAATTCAATGTGTAATCGTCACCCATCTGTTAAGGATGGAAAAAATGATTAAAATCTGGGTTTTTCGAGCTTGCCCGCACGCTGTATGATTGTGCCGATCGGGGTCAAAAGTTCAAGTGAATTTTGTTCCCCTGTTTGGGACTGGTCCTTGTCAATCAGCGTGTATAGATGATGAGAAACAAGGTAGGTGATGTGATACGCGTTTCCTATTCGGTGGACCCGTGCGTTCCCGTGCTTTTCGTCTCTTTTTCTGCATTTACAACCGAACAGGGGGGTTTCTGCCTCCTGCCGGACAGCGCTAGGAGAGGTCGCCTGGTCGTTCGGCCGGCTCACAACCCACTCCCGCCCCTCAGTATTAAACAAAAACGTTCAAAGGTATGAAGATGGATATTTAAAACGAATTGTTTTATTCACAGAGGAATCGCAGTCCTGTTGTGAGTATTCAAAAGTGACAAGGCACCAGGAATTGGTGACCAAATCAGTCTGATCAACTGGCAGAGTTTGTCTTTCACAACAAGTGCCTTTAATGCGATGCTAAAAATGAGCATTAAGTTACATATTTCATAAGACAATAACAAACAAAAGACATCCATCCGAATTCCCCTTCACCGTGTAAATCCAGTCAGAATAAAATATTTGAGATGACGACAGCTCATTTCGAAACATTTCTTTCACAAAAAAGGCTGACGAGTAAACCACGTCTCCTCTCAAATACCAACCTGTTACACGTCCCCTAACCGTGAGCTATGCTTATCACCCGTATTAAGCCAGCATGAAAACTGAAAATATGAATAAGCTTTTGTGTGTGCAGTTATGACTACTTAAGCTGTTGCACCACTTTGAGAAAAAAACAGGAGCGCCGTTCGATGATAAATTATATCCAAGCAGCAAATAATTAAAAATGTATCTTAGTGATAGGAAATCGTCCTTTAATTAGGATCAGCTGAGTTGTACTTTAAGTTGCACACATATTGCTCTATAGATGACTCTTTCCTATTTCTATAAATTAACACGATCATCATTAGTTTCTATCTCAAACAACAACCAACGATTTCACTTCCAATGATAGAACGGCTGCGACTGCCAAATTCAATCCTATTAATAAAAGCAACTTTGTTCCCGGTCATAACGTTCATCAGACCAAATTTGTTTAATAGATTAAGATCATATTGTTTGACGTTTCCCAAATTAAAAGATCTGAATTATGTACTATGGTCCACCAGCCTTATTTCTTTGTACTGGTTGTAGACGGAAGGAAAATCGAAGGGATAGGTTTTATCGTTGCAATCAGAATGCCGCACATGAAATCTAGCGCTGTATTTGAAGTCCCTGCTTTAAACCAAAGAGATACACCACACCCGCCATCAGTCTTGACATACATTGCATCTATTAATAATGTCCTTGATATTTTGATAGATGGTAATTTCATGCATGGGACACACACAAATTACTACAACAGCAATTCATTGAATTCATTAACCGAAGAAGAAAAGAATCAAGAAATTTGAACGAATTCTTGGGGTGGGAAGGGAGTGATGGCGTTTCTCTCTTTCATCTTGTATTAATGACAAAACCCGCAAGTTGAAGATGAGTCATCATGCTCCCTGCCTAACGGCGATCTCTCATAACACAGAAACAAGAGGGGAAAAAAAAATCTAGTTTAAACATCCCAAAGATCCATCTCCCCTCGCTGAGCGATGGCAAGTGTATGTATGATACGGAACCCCCAAGCTACCGGCGGTTTTTCGACAGTATATAGCCAGAGTTAATATACTGACCGCATATGAATTTATTGTTTGGGTGATTGCATTCTAGATTCTAGGAACCCGCTTTGGTTGAAGTTCGACATGATAGGATGCTAGCTGGTCTTCTATACCATCGAGAGTTTTATTACGACAAGAGAGTTGCAGATTTACAACGTAATATTTACTTGAAGTATTGTGCTTTCATTCATCCTCCTACGAACCTCAAAAGCCACACGATGTCAAGAACGTAGAACATGCACGCCGCGCCTGAAAAAATACGATGTGAAGGGATTTGTCCCTACTTGGAAACGGTTATCATGACAGTGATGAAGAAGATATAAAGTCACGTGATGCTAATAGCATTCCTTATGCCACGTATCTACTTCTACGTTTAACGAGTGTCCAAAGTTTTTCGCATCCCATTCGCGCACAATCTGCACACTAATGTGCTAAATGCGACATCAACATTGACAGGTTGTGTTTCAAATGATTAATGGGACAGAGAAATCATGATCTCAACGAACCAGAACGGACACTGTAATTCCTACCCCTATTTTTCTCCGCATTTCCTTATATACGTGTTATGACCCCGATATGAGACAAAACACACACACACACACACACGCACGTCACATCATGGCCATAATATAGATCTAGAATATAAAATGAGCTCCGTGATGATACAACGAAGTTACAGTGCAATTCAATAATCTTACAAATCGGCTGCTGATTCTCGGAGTATTATACCATTATCAGCCACAAAATTGACTTTTCTTGAGATTTACCACCGTAGTTCATAAAGAAGGTCGATTTCTTACGTTTTTTGATACATTTTCGTCCACATGCATCAAACTTTCAAAGCCTTATTCAAAATGTGAAAAAGACGTTAACTGTTATAATTTCTTTTTTCCTCTCCTTCTTCTATTACTACGTTTATAAAACACTCGAGAGGAAATCATAATAGTTTTCTACAGATTTTAACATTCTGGATAAGATGTAATCTTTTGAATATGTTTTATTTGTTTAGCTTGCGATAAAGCACGTTGCATTGATGCAGCAACAAAGCCCAAAATGATTTACATTTAGATTATAGTGCCACCCTTCATTCCCGTCTGTGCTTAGGCGACCAAGGTGCATGCGCGATCATTCTCCAGTTGTTACTTTTTTGTATAATCTTCACACGCCATCGAATCCTATACTAATACGGGTTCCCTCCCCTGATCAATCGGAATCGTAGTCAACGATGGTAACCATCAATTCTACTCAGTAACGGGAGTGAACATCCTCATGACCCACATCAAGACATAAAACATTATTATCAAACCATGTCCCTCGCACAGTTCTATTCTTTATTCTTTCATTCATTGTCAGCTTTATCCCCATTTCCATTATCGTCTCCATCATAACGGATATGATCGTCATAGCAACGACAATCATTTATCAATAACCATCAGTTACCGTTCACCTTTTCGCAATCTCCCCAGTCCCTTCACTTTTTCTTATCCATCTGTATAATCAACCACCTATTGGTTAGCCAGCAATAACCAAATCCTGAAAACGGTCATTATTTGCCGCCATAATTTTATG